GGTTGAAACCAAGGAAACGTGATCTATATATATATATATATATATATATATATATATATATATATATATGTATGTATGTATATATAAATAAAAAGAAAGAACAGCAAGATATATAATCCGGTGTTCTTATAGATATTTTATTTTTACAAAATAGTGCTCAATGTAAATTTACAGAGCATTATTAAAAAGTTACTCCAAAATTCGCTTGAGGATGAAATGGAACTAATGTCTTTAATTTAATCACAAAATTAAATTCGTGGCTTTTAGCTTCCATTTTGAAACATGGTTAGAACTGTGTAGCGAAAAAAACATATTTTAAATCAATTAATTTATATATATATATATATATATATATATATATATATATATATATATATTCTGTTTATAAGTTAATCGAACCTGTATCCTATAGGAAACCCTCAATTCGCCTGACGTGCAGTTAACCATTCAGCCACAGAGAACTTCCGGTTAGCAAAGTTCAAATTACTGCTTATAAACACACATCTTCGACGATCTTTCTCGATAATTCATTTCCTCTCTGAAACATAATCAAACGTAAAAAATGACAGCATTATTATATGAGATGGATTAAACCCGACAAATATTTAATATATTTTCTGTTTATACGTTATTTCGTCGGAGAACGCGTATATTCTACGAAATTTCTCGGACATTCAGGCCAGTAAATGTAACTAATAGTATTTAATTAAAAACAAAGTATTTACTCAAATAAGTTGTATCCGTAAAAATAACGTATAAACAGAAAATATATAAAATATTTGTCAGATTTAATCCATTTCGTATATAATATATATATATATATATATATATATATATATATATGAAGAAAAATATATACGGAAAAAACAAACAAAAATCCTTATATACAATTATGCTGTTTTAATGTTAATATGTCAACGTCGGACGTTTCGGTCTAATAAACCATCTTCAGGACATATTCATAAATTATAACATTATCAATACAACATGACATGATCTAAAATTTATATGTACGCTTGTCAAGCATTAATCTCGCTAGAAAAGGGGAAATTCTAAAGAAGCCAGGTCTAGTATTCACCGTGCGTGAGATGGATATTATGCCTGCTTCATAAATCCGCCTAAGATTTAGATCAAAATAGAATTCTTTTCATTTTTCATTCAAAATACTCAAATTTTAGGAATAAGTTTTCACAGCGTCGCCCACGTGACGACAACGTGACCATGTTTTAAACGGAGCGCTGATCTTATAAAACTTTCAGTTATTTGTTTGGATAAGTCTTGTTCTAATGTACATCGTCTTTGTCATGTTGTATTGATAATGTTATAATTTATGAATATGTCCTGAAGATGGTTTATTAGACCGAAACGTCCGACGTTGACATATTAAAATTAAAACAGCATAATTGTATATAAGGATTTTTGTTTGTTTTTTCCGTATATATTTTTCTTCATACTGTCGGATTTATGTCCATATATTTGCTTACACACACACACACACACACACATATATATATATATATATATATATATATATATATATATATATATATATTTGTGCATTAAGGCAGCTATCCTTCTTTCATGCACATTTCATTGAATACGACAGACAAGGTGCTTTTATGTAGTTTTTTATACAATTTCTCATGCGATCTAATAATTTTCTTTTCGGATGATAAATTATATAAAAACTGTCCGAATGTTCTTTTTATCCAAGCGCTTTCGGCTATACATTTAGCCATTTTCAAGGATTAAATATTTTAACTGTTAAATAAGAAATAGTTTGTTGTATGTATGTTTTATAAAATGTTTTCATTTTTCAAAACACGGTCAAGATATTGTGTCCATGTTCAATGTTAATATTATTAAGTGTTGTTGTTTTGTTTTTTTTATTAATAAGGCTTCCATTATTTTTAGTCTTTTTTTTGCATGTAGATGATGCTATTATATTAGTGTTGTCAACAAGTATGTTACGAATAGGGTCCGGTAGGTCACCATGGATATTTAAATGAGATATTATTATTATTAGTAGTAGTAGTAGTAGTAGTAGTATAAGAGAATACAATAAGAATATTTTGAAATCGCAACAGAAAAACTTTCATTTTTCAACACTATGATTGTACTTCCTCAGGCGATGATTGGTAACTAGTAATAAAATGGAAATTTAAAAACAAATCGTTATTTCTTTTCCGAAAGTTAAAGGTGGGGACATAAAGTCAGAATTAAAAACAGACTTGTGGGTATGTCTTGATTAACCAATTAAATGTCAGATCTACGCTAAATCGAAAAATAAGGTCAGAACGTCGGGGTGGGTGAGTTATTTTACATGTTATGATAAACCGGCATTTTGACATTGAATCAATGATGATTGTGGCCAATATGGCAGCGACAAATGTATCGTCATTGTAGCCAAATATGACGTTTTATTTGTTGAAGTGTGGGGGGTAGGTATATATATATTAAGAAACTGTTTTTTTTTAACCATTTCGCACCAAGCAAGGCAATAAAGTCACTAAGACGCTAGAAGTTACTTAATGTTAGAAAATATAAGAAAAAAACACAATTAAGTAGAGAGAACAATAAGAAACAGAAGATAACGATTCACATTGCATTTAAAGTATCGAAAATCAATGTTAGTTGACTGGGAAGCTAGAAGATGGAAGGGGAGCTCACAAGCGAGAAGTGCGAGAAAAGAAACTGTCAGCATAGAACTTGCGGCTACATTTAGCCAGCTCGACTGTAAATTGACAAGATCTCGACGCCATTATAATACTGAGCTTAAATTCAAAAAGTCTAGGTACCATAGTTTAGGATTGGGTTTCCGGTTCTTTCTAAAGTTTTCTCATTCCCTTTTATTTCCAGTAACACATTTTTCAGTATATTCGTGGGATGAACTGATTAAAAAAAAAAAAAGAAAAAAGAAAGAGTATAGATCGCTTAAAGTGTTTTTTTCAAAATTCCATTTTTTGTAGAAAAAACGCACTGATTACGACAGTCGTAATTCGAAATGGAAAAATTACCTGTCCAGGTAAATTTTAAAAATTGTACATTAATAGGAGTCGATAGGCTTGCTTGTCGTCCGTTTGACACTGCTCCCTGGTCTTTTGAATAGGAGCAGAGGTCTATCTCTTGTTTCCTGTTTAGGACTGTGTTTCCGGTTCCTTCTAAATCTACTTCAATTCTATACTTCTAACGTCTCCACCTAAACTCTGAAAGTTTATCCACTTATTGTCTATTTTAATCTTTCTTCTTAAAGCAGAGGTTTATTCCTTGTTTCCTGTTTAGGATTGGGTTTCTGGTTCCTTCTAAAGTCTACTTCAATTCTATACTTCTAACGTCTCCACCTGAATTCTGAATTGTTTTTCACCAATTAATTTTTCCTCCTGCTCCAATAGGAGTAGATAGATTCGTCTTTCGTCCGGTTCACACTCCTCTCTGGTCTTTTGAACAGAAGTAACGGTTTATCTTTTGTTTCCAGTTTAGGATTGGGCTTCCGGTTCCTTCTAAAATCTACTTCAACTCTATATTTCTAAAATCCCTGAAATTTCTTCATTACTTCACTTCTTGCCCTTTCTGACGCTAATACAACATCGTCTACATTGGGTGGCTCTCGGGTTTTGCATTAGTAAAAATTAAAAAAAAACAAAACTTTTTCGTTTAAAATTTTTTGTGCGTTTGTCTTTTTCCGAGCACTCTAAAAGATCGTCAAAAAATAATGTTTTTGAATTATGAAATTCGGTAAAGACGTTCTTATTAATTGACTTTATTAAATGAAAAACTAAATATGAGAATTTTTAGTTTTAGTTTCATTTTAAAATTTCAATTTATTTTATTACGTTTTTTCTGATTCTTCAAGTTTTTTTTTCTTCATCAGACGAAGCTGGCTATAAATATTCATAAATATTCGCTCTTTCCTCTCGAACCCCGCCCATCTCCTTTTAAGGCATGATTCATTTTTTTGTGTTGCTTTCCTTCTTTTTTCTTGATGTTGTTGCCAGCGACATTCGCTAAAAAATGGTACAAATATGACAGCGGCAAAATTATACAGTTTTTGCTTGTTTTTGAAGACCTTTTTTTTTATTATTACGAACTCTGCTGTCAATAACATTTGTACAAAAGACGATATAAAATAAAGATGGCGCGGATCTGGTGTGAGAAGAAGAGAAAATTAAAATCACTTTCCTTTCTTTCTTGTTCTTTCTTTTCCTTTTTGTCTTATTTTATTTACTTTTTTCTTTCTTTGTTTCTTAATCTTATTGAATTATTAATCTAACTGTCCTACCTTTTTTTTTCTTTTCCATTTTGTATATTTTCTTACTTGTTTTTCTTTCTTTTTCATCATTTTTCTAATTTTTTTTCTGTATTTTTCTTTGTTTCTTACGATTGAATCAATTTCTTTTTTCATTCTTTTTTTTTCTTTTCCTTTTTGTCTTGTTCTTTCTTTCTTATTTTCTATCTTTTTCTCATGGAATTAATCAATTGTCACATTCTTGCTTGCTTTTCTTTTTTCCTCATTCATTATCTTTCTTTCTTTTTTCTATTTTCTTTTTTTTTTCTTCAGTTTACTTTTGTCGTAATTTATTTGCTTATTTTTTTCTTTTCCTTTCTTCATCTACTTTGTTTTTCTTTTCAGTTTTTCTTAGTCTATCTATCTATCTATCTATCTCAATCTGTTATCTATCTATCTATCTATCTATTCATACCTATCTAAATCAATATTTTCATGTTTCTAACTCAATCTGTTCATATCTATCTATCTATCTATCTATCTATCGCAATCTGTTCTTTATCTATCTATCTATCTATCTCAATCTGTTATCTATCTATCTCAATCTGTTATCTATCTATCGCAATCTGTTATCTATCTATCTATCTATCTATCTATCTATCTATCGCAATCTGTTATCTATCTATCTATCTATCTATCTCAATCTGTTCTCTATCTATCTATCTATCTATCTATCTATCTATCTAACTCAATCTATTCATACCTATCTAACTCA